GGCAGGGAGGCCCTCAGGCGGGGGCCTGGGATCCTCAGCGGGCAGGGAGACCCTCAGGCGGGGGCCTGGGATCCTCAGCAGGCAGGAAGGCACTTAGGCAGAGGCTACTTCTCACACAGAAGGTGGACAGACTCAACAGATTCTAGTTCAGGAATCTTGGTGGGATGACTGTGGTCTACACCTCTGGATCCATACAGAACATCTGTATTTTTTAAGAGAAATACCTTAAATACACCCCAAAGTCAGAGGTGGTCCTGTGGCATCACCACCTTGATGGTGTTCTTGTTTTCTGTGCTTTACAGGAGGGACTGCGGCATATAATGCAGGTGTCGATAACGTGAAGGACCCTCGTGTGGACAGACTCACCACACACCAAAATTACTCCAGTGATGTAGTAGCTAGAGCTTTATATTTTATGGAACAGGGCTTCTAACATGAAAGAGATACGGTCTCCTGGACAGAGCTGGAGAAAAATGTAGAAGAAAATTCAAACTCACAAAAAGAGACCAGACTTACTGGTCTTATGGAAACTGGAGAACCTCCGAGAGCATGGTCCCCAGCCACCCTTTTAACTCAGTACTGAAGTCACTTCTGAGGTTCACCCTCAGCCAAATCTTAAACAGGCCCATAAAACAAACAACAATACACATAGCTCAACCATGTATATGAGACTAAATGGGCACACCAGCCCAGGGGCAAGAATGAGAAGGCAGGAGGGGACAGGAAAGCTGGACGAATGGAAATGGGGAACCCAAGGTTGAGAAGCAGAGTGTTGACGCCACGGGGTTGGCAACCGTGTTAGTTATCTAGTGCTGCTCTAACAGAAATCCCACAAGTGGACGGCTTTAACACAGAGAAATTTATTCTCTCAGTCTAGTAGGCTACAAGCCCAAATTCAGGGCATCAGCTCCAGGGGAAGGCTTTCTCTCTCTGTCGGCTCTGGAGGAAGGTCCTTGTCTTCAATCTTCCCCTGAACTAGGAGCTTCTCCACGCAGGAACCCCAGGTCCAAAGGATGTGCTCTGCTCCTGGTGCTGCCTTCTTGGTGGTACGAGGCTCCCCTGTTTCTCTGCTTGCTTCTCTCTTTTGTATCTCAAAAAAGACTGGCTTAAGACACTACCTAATCTTGTAGATCTCATCAATATAAGTGCCGCTAATCCATTTTATTACATCATAGTGATATAATTTACAAAACACAGTGAAATAACATCAGATGATAAAATGGTAGACAATCATACAATACTAGGAATCATGACCTAGCCAAGCTGACAGATATTTTTGGGGCACACAATTCAATCCATGACAGCAACCAATGTCACAAAACAATATGTGTATCATTTAATGAGAAACTAATTCGCTCTGTAAACTTTCACCTAAAGCACAATTTAAAAAAAAAAAAGAGGCAAAGGAAGGTCCAGATGGTCTCTGCAATTACACACACACATGCACACACACAGAGATGTGATCAGAAAAGGGTTATCTTCCCTCTGATTCTGAAAGACAGCAATGCTAAATGTAATCAAATTGTAATCGTTCATTCAGAGTGAAGCCAGCAGATTCTGTCCTAAGGTAAACGACTGAAACGCTCAGCTACTGCAGAGAACACAGAAACAAAAGGAACAGAGCTTTTAAAGCGACTTCCTGTAGTGCTTCCGTCTCCGTCCTCTGGTCAGTTCTCAGGTGGGCATTACCTGCTCGACAGGCAGCACCTAATGGGGGAGCCCAAAGCCAGAAACCAAGGTCACAGGCCAAGTAGGCCTCACCTCAGCCTAAAGGGCCAAGGAGAGAGGGAGATGCTGGGAAATAACACCCAGGCCTCTTCCCCCTCCACCCTTCAAGAACCTGCATTTTTACGGAAGCAAAAACTGAGTTTTCTGACATTTTTGGCTGATGGCCTCTGCCACACTGGGGTCAGGCCAGTCCCTGTACACACTCCTTCCCGAGGCCTTGTAATCCCTGGCTGGGCCTGAGTGTACTCCCACTGGACAGCTTTTCTCATGAGACATGCAATGCCAGGGCCAAACGCCCTCCATGACCCTCCACAGACTACGGTCCAGACACTCAGTAGAGGCTGCAGCGGACCCCTCCTTTCCCTAAGCTCAACCTCCTGATAGACCCTAAACCTATCTCAAACATGGCACCGACAGAAGACACCACCCTTTTGTTGGAAGAATCAAATGTATTCGGGAAGAATAGCCTTACTTGTAAGAAACAGAGCCTACAGTCAGTCCCAGGTTAACAAACTTATGGACGACTTGTATTGCCCTTTGATGGGATGTAAATTTGCCTTCGCTTCGCAAGGACTGAACCGACCCCTACTCGCAACAGATGTCTCACCGTCACTTCACTGGCTGCACGGGCGGCTTTTAAATCACTGAAAAGGCTCCAAGCCTTTTCTCCCACTGAAGTGAGGCTAAATAAGAACCGCAGGCACCTGTTTTGACTTACCTACAAATGCGACTTAAAGACAGTTAGGAACGGATCTTGTTCATTACCCAGGGACTGCCTGTATTCCCTTTGGAGAATGCCAATGTCAAAATGAAGTTTATCACTGCCTGAAATGATTTCTTTTCTTTATAATTTTACTCTTTTCTTTATAATTTTACCTTTTCTGGTGGAAGGGACACGTTCCAGAAGACAGTGCCTGGGGCGGTGGTAAGGGCAGTCTGAGACCCTGAGCATCCCTGGCCCATGCCGGTGGGGGCTGGCTCTGCACCTCTAGCTCGAGCTTGAACTCAACAGCAAGCTGCTAGCTAAGGCCTGGCTGTCCTGGTCTTGTGCAACCAACATCCTTTGTGGAGGACAGCCCTGCTTCATCACAAAGTCCCCAGGCTACTCAAAGTCTATGCAGCTTTTGGATGACTGCTGGCTCACTGGCCCTCAGGACATCTCCTGACTGTGGCTGTGGAGCAGGGGACTCTTTGGCCTCTGAAGGAACTCCGGTATTCATCTACTGCCTCTTTTTGCCTCAAATGTAAAGTTTAGGAGAGGCTTCGTGGGGAGCTCCCTCCCTCCAGACTCCCTTCTGCACTGTGCTCTGGGGCACTGCTGTTCCAGGGCTGCAGTCTCTGGGGTACGACGCCCACCCCCATTCCTCGGTGCATTTCCTGCCATGGCTCAACCTGCACTCAGCTTTGGGTGGCCTGTCGGCCCCAGTGCAGCCCCACTCTGCCCGGTCTTATCCACTGTGGCTGAAAAGCCTGTCCTTTCTCTCTCAGCTGGAGAGACCTCTTGACCAATATCAAACGGGAACACTGCAAAGCCCTCTGGCCTTTCTCCTCTAAAGATGGAGTGATAGAATGAGAACTACCCCAGATGAGAAATGCTATTCTGTGATCAGGTGGTCTCTTCGACTGGCCTGAGGGTTTTCTCCAAGGTGCCTGCCGAATTCAATTGAATTAAACGAGAAAACAATCTTTTTCAAATGCTAACATGATTGGTAGAGGGTCAGCAAAAAACAAGGGAAATCTTCAATGAGATGGACTGACAAAATGGACCCAACCACGCCAAGGATCATGAAGATGGCACAGGACCGGGCAACATTTCGTTCTGTTATACACAAGGTCGCCAGAAGTCAGCGCCTTCTCAATGGCAACCAACACCACCAAGAAGGACAACTGCTTAAGGCGGCAGTGGGCCTGAACCTAGATGTTCAAATAATTGCCTTTCTTACCTATTCTGGAGCGAAACTACTAAGGGGAAAGGGAGAGAATTAAACCAAGGAACAGTGCTCAAACCTCTAAGTCTATAAAGAAGAAGAAGAAGGATCTTTAGTCAGTGAAAATGAATGGTATGTAAAATGTACTTAAATGAAAACACTTTCTAGTACTCTTTAAATAAAAATGATTTAAGTTCTTCAAAATCCGAGACTGCTCCTGCGTTAGGACTTAATTCCCTCCTGCGGCCCAGGCGTCAGATCCCACCGCAGTACTAGCTCCCCCGTGCTCCTGAGGCAGGTCTCAGACATGTCCTCCTTTGCTGGAAGTCCTTGTGGCAACTTCAGCGGCTGGATTCTGAACATAAGCAAATGCAGTGAGAATCATGCTGGGTAACAGATTTTTAAAAAGCAGCTGATATAACAAACAACAAACCTTATCAAATGTTTAACCACTTTCAGTTTTGCATTCACTGAAGGGATATTCTTGTGAACTTGAGGCGTATGTGCCTATGAAGAAAAGAAACAGTGTTATGGATCAGTCTAGAAAGCAGATGGTCCCGTTTCAGTAAAATGTTAAGCTGAAGGCTCATTCTGTCTAAATCAAACTTACAAATAAGCTACATTATATAAGACATTTGAAAAAAAAACTATATATGCCTTAAAGTTATAAATTGTAAAATTCAAAGAAAATTTAAACAACACTAAAGATCACTAAAACAGCAGCATACTTTTTCTAATCCAAGCATCTTTATTATATTTTTCTCCCAATATGGACGTCTTTTTGTACTTTTTATCCTGGTAACGACATGCAGTTTATGAGGGTTTTGTGGGTCCCCACCATATTTTTCATGATCTGCAGGTGAAGGCTGAAACACCTAGAAAGGAAGAATCATAAACGGTAAATTTGCAGCTTCCACACCGTCTGATCCTATGTTCCTCCACTGCCCCCGCCCCACAAAGAAATACACTAACCATCTCATCACTAATCTTGATATAATCCTCAACCTCAGCCCGAACATTTCTACAAGTCTGATTACTCAGAGAGATGGAATCTGAAAATTTCATACTCGAAGAAAAATAGCACACAGGCAAAGTTTCTGTTTTTCTTTTGTTTAACCTGTAGACCAAAGCAGAAGCAACCAGAGGGCATTCAGGAGCTGAAAAGGTGGGAGAATTTATCAGCCACACTATGAGCCGAGCGTTGAGCTGCGCCCCCTCTCTACCTCCCAAAAGGCTGGGAGCTGAGTGTCAAGCAGGGAAACAAACAGGCGAATTCAAACCCACGAGTATTGTAGCGTATATACAGAGTACTATGAGAGCACAGAGCCGGGACTCAGGAGCTCCACCTATGGGGGATCAGAAACAGTTCCACAGAGCTGACATTAGAACTGATTTTCTAAAAATCAGAAGGCTCTAGAAGCTACCCCACAGAAAAACCCGCCCAAGTCACATAAATGTACTGAATAAGGCCGTGCACTGCAGCGCTGTGTGTAACTGGGAAATCTGAAGGCAACATCCATGCTCCTCAACAGAATAACTAAATAAATGGTGAATACATGGTGTCCCACTGTTGCCATTAAAAAGAATGAGGTTTACTGTCTTTGGAGAGACTAACACTGAAGGGTGGCCTAATATACTCTTGAACAAAAACCAAAACAAAACAAATTTCCACGTTACTATGTGCAGCAGCATTGCATCTGCACCGTCGGCACCAAATGTGTGGGTGTGTCTATGGGATATGTTTTATCAATACTGATTTTAAGAATCATATTTGAGACACACACACACATATATATACACATATATAAATACTTATATATGTATAAAAGTCTCAAAGGCATTAAATCAAGAGTCATACCTCTGGGGAATCAAACTGAGGAAGAATAAATTGAAACAAATAGATGGTATTTTCATCAAAAAGAATATGTTCAATCATTAAAAATAGTTTTGAAAAAACAAGTCCACCGGCAGATTCACATCGTTAAGTGCAGAAAGCAGCTACAGGAGTTTATATGTGAGATGACTCACGTCTTTGAAACACACAACAGAAAAGCTGTGGAAGGTGCTGCCGGCAGCTGTCCACAGCGGGTGGGATGAAGGGGCTTAGGTCCCTGTTAGCTTGTTTGGATTTTTCTAGGGACTCTGAAGAGATTTAGGGGAAGAGGAATGGTGGCGGGCAGGGGATGCACCAGAGAAAAGGAGAAAATAGAGAGAGAGAGACAGTGTAACAGAACATGGAGTATTTGGGAAAAGCAACTAGCTCAGTGTGACTAATGGGAAAAAAAAAAAAACAAGAAAAGCAATGCAGGCGACGAAGTTAAAGTATGCTCCACCGTGCGGAACCTTTAGAATTTACCTAGAGGGATACAACGCTATCAAACATTTGAAGAAACATGACCCTATTTCAAGAAGAGATTTGGAAGGAAAACTTGTAAGAGAATAAAATGAGCCAACTGGATGTGGCGGACTGGGCCAGGGAGACCCAGGGGGAAGCCCTTCTGACCGTGGTTCAAAAACCTGAGCGGCAGGAGCTGCAACAGAAAAGGGACGGGTTGGATGGCTCTGGGCAGTTAACAGATGGATTTGGTGGTAGGTGAGGGTGAAAGAGGGGCTGAGACTGACTCGGAGGTCTCTAGTTTAGGAAATTAGCTAAGAGTGGTAGCACTGACCAACATAACTAATACAAGAAGAACCAACTCTTTGTTTGGAGGGAAAGTAATATAATGAGTTTAACTTTGGATCTGTTTAATGTGAAATACGTATGAGTCATCCAAGTAGCAATGTCTAGAATCCGGCTGAGAATACAGGAATAAGTTCAGAAGACAGCAGGGGTTAAAGGTACACATCTTGGAATAATTTTCTACAAACTTTCACATTTATTTACTCCAGTCAACAATCAAAATCGCTGCCTGGCTATACACTGACTACAGGTAGTCCTCAGGGTATGAATGTCTGATTTACGGATATCACGTACTTAAGAACGGTCTGCCATAATCAGCTAAATACAATGGTTTGTAATAACCAACTCACACCCTACTCTGTGATACTTGAGAGAACACTGCATGGTTTGGAAGTGTTTAATACGCACAGAAAAGTAAAATATATACTATATACTAAGACAAACATTAGACTAACTGACGCTGAATACGAATCATATGTACCTGTCACAATTTACCTACAAATGCGACTTAAAGACAGATTTAGGAACAGATCTCATTTGTAACCTGGGGACTGCCTGTACTGATATCGCTTTAAATAAACATTAACATTTGTATCTACCCTTTTCTTCCAGAAGTTTACAGACTAAGTATGTAAAAAAAGATGTGAGACAACAGAGCTGTGGAAGGGGCAGCAGTGAAAGACCAAGACTTGAAAAATAAAAAATGAAAACCAAACCCGTTGCCATCGAGTCGATTCTGACTCACAGCGACCCTATAGCACAGAGTAGAACTGCCCCACAGGGTTTCCAAGGAGCGCCTGATGGATTCAAACTGCTGACCTTTTGGTTAGCAGCCGAGCTCTTAATCACTGCGCCACCAGGGCTCCTAGAAAAATAAAGAGGTTTCAAAATTATTTTAAGAGTTTCTGTTCTCTCTCCTAGTTCAGTGGTTAGTACCTGGGGTCTTAAAAGCTTGCCACCAGCCATGTAAGATACAACAACTGGGCTCTACTCATCTGGAGCAACAGAGGAAGAAGGAGACCCAGGAATTGGAGAAGGAAATGGCTTGCAAGTCTAATTGCCTCCATGAACTACTTCCTCCCTTGCCATGAGACCGGAAGAAATAGATGGTGCCCGGCTACTATTACTGAATGTTTTGTTCAGGGACTCAATAGATGGATCTTGATCAAAAGGAGGAAAACTGAGGGATGCAACTTCAAATTCTTATTGGAAACCAGACTTACTGGACACACTGAGACTGAAGGGACCCCCGAATCTATTGCCTGGAAACAACTTCTGAACCTGAGCCAAAACTATCCCATGAAGTCATCTTTAAACTAAATAACAATTCAGCTCAATAAAGAATGTCTGCCTTGGGCACTGCGCCCTACTGGAGAAATACCTGTACGAGACTGAAATGCCCACAGTAACCCTGAGGCACAGAGGGCAGAGAGGGGACATCAATGGTGGTGAAACAACGGGGGTGGAGACAGTGTGAACTACGAAACCACTGTCAATGAACCACACACGCACAAATTGTTAAACGGGCGGAGACAGTGTGAACTACATAACCACTGTCAATGAACTACACACGCACAGATTGTTAGACGGGTGGAGACAGTGTGAACTATGAAACCACTGTCAATGAACTACACACGCACAAATTATTAAACGGGTGTATGTTTTGGTTATTTCCACCAAAAATAAAAAAAAGAGGTCTCTGATAAAAGAACACCAACCACACTAAAGTTTTAAAGCAGTCACTGCTGATACCATTTGATCTTTAGAAGTCAATGCAGGGCTCAGTCAGTGCTTTGCCTCAGAGAATGACAGGTACACACAAACGTGGCAGAGAAAACTCAAGGACTCAAAATAGAGATGGTCGACGCAGAGAGTGAAAACAAAGTGACGCAGAGTGAGAAAGTGAGGGGAAGCAAGACTTGCTGTTTTCTCAATACAAAGGAAAGGACCCAGAGGCAGGAATAAATGTAATCTGGGATGGTAAGAATCCACCACTTGGGAAGGCCAGTGGCACAGCTGACAGAAATTCATAATTCCTACTACGACTCCAACACCGCACCACTGCTTACATCCAAAAGCAACGTAACAGAAAAGCTTTCAATGTTATAAAAACAGTACCCTTTAAAACACAGCACGCTTCAATAACAGCAACATTTTAAAATACTTGTTCTTACTTTATCTGGAATTCGTGACCTCGTAAATTTGTGACGAATCCAATCTGAACAAATGAGAGACTCCGTACCTTTTGTCACCGTCTAAAATATGATAGAAAACATTTGTTTTTCAAAACCTTGTTTAGTGCAGACATCTCTACCCACCAATCTTTAAGTGACAAAAATCTGTTCTGACCTATCTTATAATTTTTAAAGGTTTATCTCAGTCCCCTAGCAGGACAGATATATCCAATCCAACCACTAACACATTACAAAGCTGAACACAGACTTCTAGACCAGAGGCTGGCAAACCTTTTCTGTAAAGGGCCAGACAGTAAATACTTCCAGCTTGGGAGCTATGCAGTAGGCGTTACCTAAACTCAGCTCTGCCACTGTAGGGCAGAAGCAGCCATAGACAATATATAAACAAATGGGTGTGGCTGTATTCTGGTAAAATTTTAATTTCAAAAACAGATGGTGGGCTAAATTTGGACTGAGGGTCATAGTTTGCCAAGCCCTGCTCTAGACAATGTACAACTGGCCCTCAACAATACAATGTAAAAGAAAGCCAAATGCATTTCCAATTTTCTTTTTAGGCCTAACAATGCCATCACTGCTATTTCTCATCTCTCATTCCCTCTCTGCATTCCTCCAATCTTGTTTCTCTCAGGCTGTGGAAGAAAAAGGATTCGTTGCCAAAGCTTCCCAGCGGGAAGCTCCTATCACAGGTAACCACGGGGCTGAGGTGCCGTGCACAGACCGATAATGCCAACAATTGTTCCCTTCTAGCCTTCCTTGTGCGCAGAGACGGCGCAGACAACTAAAGCATTCCCGGAGAATGCACAGGAGGGAATGCGCATGGTACGAGAAAAACACAGGCTTTGACACCAGGAACGCTGGGCTTCTAATCCTGGTTCTGCTGCCGGCCAGCTGGGAGATATCAGACAGGTCCCTCATCCTCTCTGAGAGTCAGATTCCTCAGCTATAAAAGGGAAATAATTCTGCCCTCACAGGATTCATCTTAGGTGAAGATAATCTATGTAAGCCACCTGACATTATTGTCAAGAGCCACTACCAACCTATTGTTGCTGAGTTGATTCCAACTCATAGAGACCCCATAGGATTTCAAAGGCTGTAAATCTCTATGGAAGCAGACTGTCACATCTTTCTCCCTTGGAGCTGCTGCTGGTTTCGAACTGCTGACCTTTTGGTTAGCAGTCAAGCATTTTAACCACTGTACCACCAGGGCTCCTATATCTAGACTCTTGCCCTTATGAATAGATTAGGCTGCACTGTTGTGCTTTCTAAAAAAAAGACGGGAAGGAAATACATGAAAATATTAACACTAATGTTCTCTGGGTGATTGTTTCTCTTCTTTCTGCTTTTCTACAGTTTTTTTAATTTCCCATGATTAAAAATACGCCCCTTTCATAACAGAAAGAAAAAAAAACTAAACCTTTAAAAAGATACGACAGGCCACGGGGAATCAGCAGTAATCACGCGTTACTGGCATGCTCTCCAGGAAAAGATCTTTTATGATCCCAGGTCTTTAGGGATAAAATAGCAGATAAACCATAAATACACAAAAGTAGTGCTCCCCCACCCCCCGCCGCTGACACACAGAAATTTAACACATAAAAAAGAGATCTGCCAAGAATTTAACGTGCTTGTATGTTTAGTTATTAGGAAAGAGAGACAAAAGGGTCATCAGGAACAGAAAAGAAAAACAAGGTAATTCTTGAAAAGAAACACTTACCTGGAGACTGCCTGCGGGCCTCTGAACTACCGAGCGCAAAATCCCAGCCATCGAGTTGGTGATTCCTCTCTTCAGAGGCTGTGGGAAGTAGAAAATAAACCGTAGGTCAAGTATGTCCTGGAAATAGATAGATCACCCCCTCCTATAGTATTAAAAAGCAGCTCCTGACCCTCTCTGCCTTCGCATCTCACCTCCGGACAGGAGCTGCCCATTTAGACTCCTGTATCTACTTGAGCTGAGCAGAACACTCTTCACGAGTATCATTTCATATCTTATAGTTCAGTCTGATCTCTGCCTAAAGAGTTGGCTTCAGGAATGGTTTTAGTTTTGGGCTAACAGAGAGTCTGGGGGCCATGTCTTCCGGGATCCCTCCAGTCTCAGTCAGACCATTAAGTCTAGTCTTTTTACTAGAATTTGAGTTCTAAACCCCATTTTTCTCCTGCTCCGTCAGGGACTCCAAACCATTGTATTTAACTCATTATGGCAGTCCATTTTTAAGTACGAGTGGTCTGTAAGTCAGATGTTCCTAACCCAGGGACTGCCTGTAATTTAAGAAAAAAGTTATGTTTATTTAGTTAGGCAGAAAGCAATTATAGCCTACTAAGAGAGGTACGCTGAGAGCAGAAAGATTAGGTTCATGAACTGCAAATATATCTTGGGTAAATTACTTAATTTGTTTTTCAATTCTTCCTCCTAGAAAAGACAATGTAACACTTACCCTGCAAATGAATTATTTCGTAAGACAACTGAAACAGTACCTGGTCCGCAGAAAGCCCTCAATAAATGGTGGCTTTTATTATTATAAAATTATTAAACCATTATAAAGCTGTAATAAGAATGGTGGTGCAAATGGTTCAGTGCTTGACTACTAGCCAAAAGGCTGGTGATTCAAACTCACCTAGAGGAACGTCGAAAGACAGGCCTGGCGATCTCTTTCCCAAAGGCCACAGCTTTGAAAAGCCCGTGGAGCAGTTCTACTCTGCACACATGGGGTCGCCGTGAGTCAATTCGCCTTGACGGCAAACCAACAACATAATAAGAATATTGTTATTATATGGTGGTTCGAACCCACCCAGTGGCACACAGAAGAAAAGGCTTGGCAATCTGCTTCTGTAAAGATTACAGCCAAGAAAACCCTATGGAGGCAGTTTTACTTTGTAACATATGGGGTCGCCCTGAGTCAGAATCGACTCAACGGCATAAGACAACAACATACTAAGAATCCTCTGACACTTATCAAAACAGGAAGTGCTGTACTTCAGTGTCTATCACATCCTATCTCGAGCTCTGTCTTTCCTGTGAGGGAGACAAAGCAATGGAGTTGGGAACAAATGCTGGACCTCAGAAAATTTTCTCAGCGTCTGAACTAATCTCCAAAATTAATCTGGGGTCAGGCAGTTTCAGAAGTATTAGCTACTAAATCCTCAGTGCCGTGAAAGTAAGAATTTTGTTCTGCTCATCCTCTACCCCAGCACCTAGCACACTGTCTGAAGGACAGCAGACACTCCATGTTTGTTGAGCGAATGTATGAAGCAGTTAGTGCGTCAGATCTATGGCCCATCCAAACCAGAATTCAGAAGTACAGCACAAGGTCATAGCTGTCATTCACACTTCAGACCTCAAACATTACGATACAGAAAAAACAATTTCTAGTTCAAATCTTCTACTGCGTACTTGGCTGACTGTTTCTGTGTCTTGTATTAAGGCATCCTTGAAGAGATGCTTATTCCCAATCAAACAGGTAATGCTACGTTATTTTCCCTACCATATTACTTCCTCCCAAGTTAAGCATTAGATATTAACCCAACTCATTTAGTTTCATACTTTGTCAAATCTTTCTCTTATCACTTGGATTTCAACAAAAGCCTCCTAACTGGCCTTCTTGCTTCCATTCCAACTCCCCTAAGGTCTTTTCTCCGTAAAAGCAGTCATCCCATTAAATCCCATATCAGATCATGTCACCCCTCTGCTCAAAACCTTCCGATGACCCAGGTTTCTCACTGTTGGAGTGGGAAGTTACACACAGCCTAGAGGGAAAGGCTAGACTCATCCATGTGTACTGATCAGAGTCACAATTCATGTTTAGCTTAATACAGATACTAAACGAGAGATACAGAAATGATGATAGATGTGTGTATCCACAGGACAGTGCATATGTGTTACCTCTGTCAGCCAGAGGGCCTAGCAATGCCACCCCAGGAGTAACGAGCACACCCAGTGCTCAGATCTTGGTTACCCATAAAACCAAAAACTAAAACCAAATCCACTGCCGTCGAGTTGATTCCGACTCACAGGGACCCCGTAGGACAGAGGAGAACTGCCCCATAGGGTTTCCAAGGAGCGGCTGGAGGATTTGAACTGCTGATCTTTTGGTGAGCAGCCGAGCTCTTCCCCCACTGCACCAGCAGGGCTTCTGGTTTCTAATACCATTCTCTAATAAAAGAAACCAGGTTCCTTGGAGAAATGGCTGATTACAGGGCGGGGCAGAGAATAAGTACAGTGAGCCTGGAGCATTCTGTGGTGCCAGAAAGGAACTGCTCAAAAAATAAAATGATGACGCTATGTCAAAGGGACACAGGAGCCAAATGACAGAGCTTCCAACAGCCAAAGCTGGAACAATGTGAGCAACTAAGTAAGTAATTAAGTCCTGGATTATAACCCAAACCACAAAATAAATACCCACGAGTCCATACTGTTACAAAGAAATGAGTAAATAAATAAATATGGGAGAAGAGACCAATTTCCACATAGAAAAATTCCAAATAATTTGTGTAGCTACTTCCCCCTAAAAGAGGTGGGGCATAACCCTCACCCGTAGTGTGGGCAATGCTTAACGACTTGCCTCCAGAGAGTACAGTAGGGAAAGAGGAAAATTAACATTACAGTAGAGAACTTGACAAACACCATCTTGGCTGGGTGATCAAGGTTAACATCAACAGTGATAAGTTGAAGTACATACCCTCGTATGAGAACAGTACTCTACCTCTGTGGTCTTCCTCCCCCAAACCCACAACCCCACTCTAACCATGAGAAAAACATCAAACACACCCCAATGAAGGGACATTCTACAAAATACCTGACCTCTTCAAAACCGTCAAGGTCATCAAAAACAAGGAAAGCCTGAAAAACGATTACAGCCAAAATGAGCCTAAGGAGACATGAGTACTAAATGCAATGTGCTACCCGGAATGTGATCCTGGAACAGAAAAAAGATATTAGGAAAAAACTAGAGAAATCTGAATCAAGTATGGACTTTAGTTAATACTAACGTATCAATACTGGTTCATTCGTTGTAACAAATTGACCATCCTAACATAAGACGTTAACAAAGGGGCCACTGGGTGTGAGGAACTTAGGAACTCCATCTTCACAACCGTTCGTACATTAACTATTATTCTAAAGGAGCCCTGGTGGCACAATGGTTACGTGTGTGCACTGCTAACCAAAAGGCTGGTGCTTTAAACCCACCCAGGGGCTCTGTGGGAAAAAAGACCTGGAGATCTGCTTCCATAAAGATTACAGCCAAGAAAACCCTACGGGGTAGTTCTACTCTGTCACATTGGGCCACTATGAGTTGGAAATCGACTCGATGGCACCTAACAACAATTCTAAAATAAAAAATTAATGTATCAAGAAACTAACAACTTCCAATACTTCTCCATTTCAATCACAGTGACAACCAAAGTCTCTTAGCCCCCCAACACTTCTCAAACCTCATTTCCAATTACTCTCTGGCTCAATCACTGTTCTAGACACACTAGTCCCCTTGTTGGTCCTGGCCCTTGCCAGGTAGGCACGCTCCCTTTGACTGGCTCTTCCCTCTACCTGGGACGCTCCTCCTTCAGATATTCACATGGCTGATTCCCTCACTTCCTTCATTTTTTTGCTCAAATCTCATCTTCTCAATGAGGTCTACCCTGATCAGATTATTCGACATTTTGAACCACACCACCACAAACGTCAGCACTCCCGATCCCTCTTATTACACTTGATTTTCTTGCCATAGCAATTATCACCTTCTAACATGATATAATTTAATTATTTGTTAAGTTTGTTATTTATCATTTGTGTCCTGTCTGTAACATGTTAGTTCCACAAGGACAGGATTTACAAAACTTTGTTTTGTCTTTGTTCTGTTCTGTTTATTCACAGATGTATCCCAAGCATCTACTTAACACCAGCACTTGACAGGCAGTAAGCACCGATACATTTTTGCTGCATGAAGTCTGATTTACAGACTTCAGAAGGTATGAGAGTCAAAATGTTTTAATAAAGAAAAAAGTTATTCTTATTAGGCACATATTCTTGAACTTCGAAGAAATTATACTGTCTCTTCTACTGCACAAAAATTAATAGAAAAATGCCGTGCATCCTATGAAAAGTATGATCTCCATTAAAAAATATGTCTGTTAGTGTGTGTGTATACATAGAAAAAACTCCAGAAGGCTATTAGAAAAATGTTAACATACTTCTGGGGGTACGTTCCCTCTCACCCTTTTCTCCACTGTAACGTCTGATCGTTTTTACAACGACGTAATGGTTCTTTAAAGGAGCTATTTCCTTTTCTAAAGAGATACATATTTAATTATGAGAAGGGATAAAAATAAACTTACTACTGAAAATGCAGAACGTATCATTTCCCTTTAATTAAACTGAGATCTCTGACCGCAAGAAACGTGATACTCCGAGTACCTAACAAGGCAGCCCTCGTAACTGCCTCTGGGCAAGGATACGCAGAGCAAGAAGCCTTGGGTAGGCAGCGACCAAAACATGGTAGCAATACCACAGCTTTTAGTAAAAAGGCAAGTATTTTAACTGCCAACTTCGCACAAATTTACCTTCTAAAATGCAGCAATTTAAAAATAAGACAAATTTGTGTCTTCATTGAAAATATAAATAAAATGGCCTTACACTTTCTGAATGGGAAGCAGAAGTTAGCAACAAAGCAGAGGCACATAAGCTGCTGAAACAAGCCTGAACTCCCTCTCCCAGGCTGTCGGCCGCTGCGCCCAGAGGACCGGGACACGGTGCGCGTCCCCGGACCCCTAGAACTGGAAATAGTACCCCAATGTCTTCTCGGGAGCCAACGGGGGCACGACCGGGACTCAAACTCAGGACGGACTAGGGAAAAATCAATCGGCGCCTGCACAGAGTTCTCAGAAAAGTACTCGGCGAAAAATGCAAACTGCCGGCCACTCATTTCCCACTCACCAGGGCCTTTGGCTGAAGAAGTCGAGACGCTGCTAGACGTTCAGCCGCTCCTTCCGCAGACCGAACGCCCCCACCGAGGGGAAGCTGGACGCAGGAAGCACTGCCGAGCGCGACACTCAAACCCTACCGTAGCAACGCTGGCGACCGCGGACAGAGGCCCTTTGGTTCCGGCCGAGTTCCTCCCATTGAGGGAAACTCAAGGAGCGAGCGCGCAGGCGTGTCGTGTCACGTGACCGCTTCCCGGAAGAGCGGGACACTCCCCTCTCGTGTTGGGGTGGAGGGGAGGTCTTGGGACTATGGCGGGGTCCCGCCTCGGTCAGGACCCGGAGAGCACAGCTGCAGTCACTGTGCTAAAGCGGGCGGTGGAGCTAGACTCGGAGTCCCGGTATCCGCAAGCTCTGGTGTGTTACCAGGAGGGGATTGATCTGCTCCTGCAGGTTCTGAAAGGTGAGCAGCGAGTCATGGAGCGGGGACCAGCGGAAAAGCAGTTGGGTTCCTGCTGTTTCTGAGGCGGGGTAAGAGTTAAAAACAATTCCTCCTCACTCAAGGAAGCAATCAGAGATAGAAGGCGGATGTTCTACCGACAACTGGGACGGTTCTTTTGTACATTTAATAAATCAAAGTCATTAAGAAAAGGGGGGACTATTCTAGGTTTAGGAGCCCTGGTGGGGCAGTGGTTAAGAGCTCGGCTGCTAACCAAGAGATGGGTAGTTCTAATCCACCCACCGCTCCTTGGAAACCCTATGAGGGTCGCTATGAGTCAGAATCGACAGGACTGCAATGGGTTTATTCTAGATTTAGGATCCTTGGTGTCGCAGTGGTTGAGCGCTCGGTAGCCGAAAGGTCAGCTGTTCCAATCCACCAGCCGCTCCGTGGGAGAAGGATGTGCCATTCCGCTTCCGTTTTAACGATTACAGCCTTGGAAACCCTATGGGGAAGTTTTACTGTGTCCTGTAGGGTCGCTATGAGTCGGAATTGACCGATGGCTGTAGGTTTGGTTTGGTTTTTCTAGATTTAAAAAGACTTAAGAGACAACCAAATGCAGTGTAAACAGCCATGATAGGATCTGGGTTTGAAAGAATTTAAAAGACCTTTTTGGATCAGTGTAGGAAGTTTGAATTGGATTGGGTGACGTTAAAATTATTAATTTTGTTAGTCAGTGTTGTTGTTTCAGGTCCCTAGGACGTACAAACAGTATGCATGGCTGTTCAAACCCATCCAGTGGCACCATGCAAGAAAGGCCTGGCGATCTGCTTCCATAAAGATTACAGCCAAGAAAACTCTATGGAGGCGCCACGCATAGGAATCCGGGACAGCAATAGGTTTTGGTTTTTTGGTGGTTGCTTCAGAAACTGTCCTTAATTTTTAGAGATGCAGACTGAAGTGTTTGGGAAGAAATGTCATGATGTCTGAAATTTAATTTTACTTAAGCCAAAAAAAAAAAAAAAAAAAAATTGAAGCAAATATGCCAAAATATAAACAACTTTTAAATCTAAGTGATAAGTAATAAGGGTGTTCATTATACTATTCTTTTACTTTTCTGATTAAACATTTTCATAAAAAGTAAACAAAACTAAAGTCACTTAGCGGCAGAAGAAAGTTTTTTCTTCAGAAAAACATGTGTTGGAATCCGTGTGAGAAAAGCCCAAGATGGTGGGTGGGGGCTGGGAAACTTCTTCTATTATGTAGTTGTTCAGTGTTGAAAACCAAGCCCCTTGGCCCTCGATTCCGACTCACGGAGACCCCATGTGTGTCAGAGTAGAACTGTGCTCCGTAGAGTTTTCAGTGGCTCATTTTTTGAAAGTAGATTGCCAGACCTTTCTTCTGAGGCATCTCTGGGTGGACTCAAAGCTCCAACCTTTTGATTAGGATCTGTGCATGTTAATCATTTGCACTGCCCAGGGACTCTATAAAAATCCTGACAAATGACAGAATACTTCAAGGTTATGTTTAAAAAAAAAAACAAACCCATTGCCATCAAGTTGATCCTGACTCGTAGTGACCCTAAGCATAGAGTAGAACTGCCCCATAGGGTTTCCAAGGAGCGGCTGGTGGATTTGAACTGCTGACCTTTTGATTAGCAGCCAATCTCTTAACCACTGCGCCACTAGAGCTCCAAGGTTATGTTTAGGGGAGTATAAACATACTCCTCATACAGTTTACCTGGTGGAAGAATATGAGTTCTTGTATCAGCATTAAAAAAAGAGAAACTATCAAGTCGAATCCAACTCATAGTGATCCTATAGGACAGAGTAGAACTGCCCCAGAGGCTGTAATGTTTACGGAAGCCGACTGCTACATCTTTCTCCTGCAGAGTGGCTGGTGGGTTCAAACTGCCAACCTTTTGGTTAGCAGCTGAGCGCTTAACTACTGTGCCACCAATGCTCCTTGTATCACCACAGGAGGAAAAAACCAAGATTCCTCACAGGAGATTGATGGATATGTTATGATTTTCTTCTTGTGATACTGTAGTATAATCACAAGAAAGTAGAGGTCTAAATGATATTAGCCTCAACAATGGGCTCAGATGTATCAAAAATCATGGAGATGGGCTCAGGACCAGGCAGCATTTCCTTCTGTTGTACGGAAAGTCGCCATGAGTCGGAGCCAATTCTACAGCAAGTAGCAACAACAAGATGATATTAATCTTGGCAGTAGAAGGACTTGAAAGGGCAAGATTTCAGTCATTATTACTGATATCAGTAACATGCTGGAAACAACGTAAATGCCCATGGGTAGGAGATTGCTTGAATAAACTATGACATTCACATAGTGAAGTTATATACTGTTATAAAAAAGAAGAATGAGGAGGATCTCTATGAACTGATACGCAGTGATTTCCAGGATATGCTGTTAAATGAAGAAAGCAAAGGACAAAGAGTATAGTATGCTATCCTTGAGGTAAAAAAGAAGAAGATGAAAGAAAATATTCATGTATCTACTCATTTGTGTAAAAGAAATACAGGAAGAATAAAACTGGAAACTATGGGATTGATTACCTAAAGTAGGGTTGGTGGGAAAAGGCTGGAAAGAAGAGGGGCATTGGAATGAGTGGGAAGGGTAAGGAGGAAGTGACACTTAGTCTGAGTTATTAATTTGTGATGTGATTAAGGAGGTGAGGAAGAAAATAGATAACCTAAGAATCTTTGAAAAATAGTATTTTGACTATTTTCTGTAAGGTTAAAGATGAAGCAGATAATACACAAATATGTATTCTAGTGGGCAAGCTTGTTTCTAACGGGTATGTTAGTAATTTTGAAACTACTTTCTATGCACCATAGGACTGAGCAAGTAATTATATTGTGGATAATAAGAAAAAAGTTACAAATAATAAAAGGGGGAAGGCTAGAATGAACCCTATGGAATTGAAGGTATCAGCATAAAGTCGTGGTTTTTAATATATATAATGATGGATAGATACAGAAATACATATAGATGTATGTGTTCGTTAGCTCTGTCAGCTGAGAGGGTCTAGAAGTATTGATGAGACCCCTCCCCCACCTCCACCCCACTAACAATGAGCACCCCTAGTGCCCAGAATTTGGTTACTCAGTACCGTTCTCCAATACATGGAACCAGGGATCCTTGGAGAAATGGTTGATTCCAGGCCCGGGGCATGGAAAATACAACCCATAGCCGTCAAGTGGATTCTGACTCATAGCAATCCTATAGGACAGAGTAGAACTGCCCCATAGGGTTTCCAAGGAGCAGCTGGTGGATTCGAACTGCCGACCGTTTGGTTAGCAGCCACAGCTCTTAACCACTGTGCCACCAGGGCTCCCTCAAAGCTGAAGCTGATAAAATTTGAGCAAGAAGGTAATGATAAAAAAAGAAAAAATCCATTGCCATCGATTCGATTCCAACTCATACCGACTGTATAGGACAGAATAGAACTGCCCCATAGGGTTTCCAAGGAGATCTGGTGGATTTGAACTGCTGACCTTTTGGTTAGCAGCCGAGCTGTTAACCACTGCGCCACCAGGGCTCCAAAGTAATGATAAAAAACCAAACCCGTTGCTGTCCAGTCAATTCCAACTCATAGCGACACTATAGGACAGAATAAAACTGCCCCATAGGGTTTCCAAGGAGCACCTGGTGGATTCGAACTGCTGACGTTTTGGTTAGCAGCTGAACTCTTAACCACTGTGCCACCATAATAAAATTAATATCCATGAGTCCATACTGATATAAATAAATAATTGAATAAATAGATGGGGAGAAGGAACAGCTCCCCCTTACAGAAAAATTCTGATCAATGGTGACTTCACAGTGGAGAAATTTGTGAATTCCACCTTAACCAAGTGATCAAAGTTAACATCACCGGTATTAAGATACACCAATATCATGTACCCACTGAGAAGGGCATGTCATTTCTGTGATTTTCTTTTCAAAAAATGCATAACCTCAATCTAATCATGAGAAAACATCAGACAACTCAGAATGAGAGACATTCTACAAAATAACTGACCGATACTCTTCATAAGAGTCGTGGTCCTAAAAGGGAAAGACTAAGACACTGTCACACACTGGAGGAAACTAAGGAGACATAACAACTAAATGCAGTGTGGGATCTGGGCTAAAAAAAAAAAAAAACTTTCTTTAGTGGGAAAATTGGTGAAATCTGAATACGATTTGTAGATGAGTTAATAGTATCTGTGTTAATTTCTTGGCTCTGATAATTGTACTATGGCTGTTGGGGGAATGGTCTGCCTCTACACCTCCCTTCCAGGCTGCCTAAATAAAGGCCTTGGGCCCAGAACATTCTCTAATAAGGAGGCTGGGAATTAGGTCATCTTCTCTCTCCCGGTTCTTTCTCCTTATCTGAGAAGGCTTCCCCCTGTTCTGGGCACACAGTAACTTTTCTGTCTCTTGCACATGCGTGGACACCACACGGCACCTGGCCAACCCCACTTCTATATCTGTTCCCGGCAGGATCTCTTGTACTACGGCGCAAGAGGGGAGTGTGCCAAATTGTAAGAGCTGGCCTCTAGGGGTGGACTGAAGGGGAAACAGGCTTTGCAAGGCTGAACATGAGCGCCCTCGTGTGGTCTGTTAGTTCACTACAGTTTGCTAAGTCATCCATCTAAGTCCCTGGCATGTAGCCACTACTCTCCATCACCACTATAAAACCTCTGCCCTCCCACTGCAGGGTACAGAGATCTGCTTTGGTCCTGTGGTTGCCCAGGACTTGCCTTGTAAGTCTCCCTAATAAACTCCTTTGGTGCCACCCTGGAGTTGCCCACCTCTTTCTTTGGTCTCTCGGCACCCTCTATTTTTGGAGGCAAGTTTCACGTTACTGGTCCATGCCTGGACAATGACTATGTAATATTTTAACATTAGGTGACTGCAAGAAGGGAACTGTATATTATTTTTACTAGTTTTCTATAAATATAAAATTATTTCAAAATAAAATGTTAAAATACTGAGAAATTAAAAATGAAACTTTTATGGAAACCAAATAATATCAGAAGGAAGGAAGGTGAAGTGATTTGGTGATAGGGTTGAGAGGGGCTTGAGATAAGATTTTATTGATAATGTATATTCAAAGATACATATTCTTGGGTTGCTGGGAAAATGATTACAACTTAACTATAATAGGGAAGTCTGGAAGTTTTTTTCTTTTTTTTTTTTAAATTGTGCTTTAAGTGAAAGTTTACAGTTCACGTCAATTTCTCATACAAAAATTTATACACACATTGCTTTATGACCCTAGCTGCTCTCCCTATAATGTGACAGCACACACCTCCTTTCCACCTTGGGTTTCCCATGTCCATTCAACCAGCTCCTGTCGCTTTCTGCCTTCTCATTCCACCTCCAGACAGGAGCTCCCCATTTAGTCTCATGTATCCACTTGAGCTAAGAAGCACTCTCCTCACGAGTATTATTTTATGCCCCATAGTCCAGTCTAATCATCATCTGAAGAGTTGGCTTCAGGAATGTTTTCAGTTCTAGGCTAGCGGAGAGTCCGGGGGCCATGTCTTCCGGGGTCCCTCCAGTCTCGGTCAGATCATTAAGCCTGGTCTTTTTACTAGAATTTGAGTTCTGCACCCTACTTTTCTCCTGCTCTGTCAGGGACTCTCTGTTATGTTCCCTGTCAGGATGGTCATTGGTGGTAGCCAGGCACCATCTAGTTCTG